TGTGGGAATCAACCGCGCAAACCGCAGGGTGGGAGGCTAGGCACGCAAAGAAGAGTGCCAAAAGCTTGCGACCAATCCTTGGGAGCCAGGACTTTGCTTTTGGCTCGGTGTCGGGCTGCTACTACGACAGTCTGGAGCTGTACAGCCAGTTAGCACACAAGCGTCGGCCCAGCCTTGCTGACGGGCTTCCATTGCTGGAAGTATGGATCGGCAATCCTCGAAAGTGGTCGCATATTGTTGATGACTTCCCTTCCACAAGGACGATTTTCCTGGAGAATATCAAGACACACAGTTGGAAGGCCAAGGGAGGATCTTCTTCCATCAGGAGCAACCGTGAGCCGACGAAGAGGGTCAGAAACCAAGACCAAGGAACCCCAGGAGCCGCATCGCCTCCTCCAAAGCGAGGGTCGCGGGAAAGGCCTGTCATAAAGTCGGGTGGCAAGAATATCACCGACATGCTCAATGAGTTCACGTCATAGATGTGATCTGGACGAGGACGTTGGCCCTCGTGCTCCGTATAGAGTTCACACCGCTAACAGCGTACCAATGTGCAAATGTCTGAGGAGAGATTTGTCGGCAGTTTAGTCCAACTGACGCAACTACGATGCCTTTGGGGATCGGGCGCCTAGCCCCAGCCTTACTAGATACCTAGAAAGTCAGATAGTGAGCCTCATTACGAATACATACATACACACTGAAATATTCGCAACGCACGGATCAGCAGGGAACTGGTTTGCCAATGCACTTACACACCTCACATGATCTCATCCTGCGCGGATCTGATAACGAAAAAGTCGATCAATCTTCAACCGCATCGAGCATCTAGAACTGTGTTTGCTGCTGGAAAGAGATAACAAGGACAATCACACCACTCTCAGTACTTGTCTGTAACAAACTTTTCCCCCCTCACGACCAATTGAGGTGCGAACTACCCCCACCTCCACCGCATTTCCATCTTCAATTCCCATACGAAGCGACCAACAAAACACGAACAGTTGCTCCTTGGCTGATAGGATTATGTCGACGCCTAACCGGGACCCGCCGGTCACCTCCCCTCCTTCAACGACTATATCTTCTCGCTCCAGCATGGACTCTCAGTCCCAATCACCCTCAACTGGTGCCAGAACACCGTCCTTACGCATCCCGTCTATGCCCAGCGCGGCAGCCCATCACCGCCAGAGTTTCAACGAATTACGAGGTCATCCTCCTTCTCCTCGATCGCAAAGACAACCCTCACTATCCCATCTCGCCGTCCAAGATCTGATTGACAACCCACCTATGCGGAATCCAGACCCTCGCTTTGCGGGGAGGAATTGGACTGAGGTCAAGGTCAAAGAGCTGGTCAACCCGGACGATCTGAGATTTGTGGACAATGACACCCCGATAGAGTCGGCTACAAATGTGAGTGTGCTCATTCCCTCCTCCAAGCCAACCGTGAACTGACGGAGGGTATCATGCTAGCTACTCATCCAGTCAGGCGCCCCAGTGGTCCTCATCCGCGAAAAACCAGGCTCCCCTGTCATCGGCACGTTTGACCACCGCGACCTCAATGCCTACCTGTTGCTAGTAATAGGGCTTTCGCACCCCGATGACAATGAACATGCAGAAGACTTCATGGAACTGGCGCAGCGCGCGAGGGAAGGTAAACGCGTACACTTGCGCGAGATCCAGGATCTGAGCAAAAAAGAGCCTTTGACTTTCCTTGACGAAAACGCCGACCTGCTCAAAGCTATTGAGACATTCGGGAGAGGGGTGCATCGAGTCGTGGTGATCGACGAGACTACAAAAGAAGCAACCGGCGTGCTCAGCCAGAGTCGTCTGGTCAGATTCCTGTGGGAAAATGGCCGGAGTTTTCCTATGTTGGATCAATTATACCTGCAAAATCTCCGTGATTTGAGAATAGGATCCAAAGATGTGATTGCTATCAAGTAAGCCCAAGCGTATACACTTGTGTCGAGCAATTCTAACCCTGTATCTAGTGGTGACCGCCCTCTTTTCGAGGCCTTGACGCTTCTGCTCAACGAGGGCGTCTCTTCTCTCGCCGTCGTCGACCACAACTTCAACGTAATCGGAAACATCTCCAATGTCGACGTCAAACTCCTCACAAAGTCTACCTCTTTGCCGCTCCTCCGCAACACATGTATCCATTTCATCACTGTCATTCTCTCCACACGCGGAATGTATGAAGGGAAAGACTCGTTCCCCGTTTTCCACGTCACTCCGCTTTCGACCCTTGCGCACACAGTTGCAAAGCTGGTCGCAACGAAGTCCCACAGAATGTGGATAACCGAGCCCGTCTCTCCCAGCTCCTCTGGTCCGCCGACACCACTGATGCATAGTGCCACACTGGCTCCGACGTCAAGTCACTCCTCCAACCTCTCACTAAACAGCGGAGGAAGTCACCACATCACGCCCCCGGTTGCGGTGCCCACTCCCTCATCCGACCCATTTTCAACATCTGTGGGCGCTGTCGTGGATAGTTCTCCCAAACCGCCATTCATCTCTCCCACGGGACCCTCAATCTCGGCGTCTTCGCTTCCAGGAGCGCGCATCTCTGGTCGTCTTGTGGGCGTGGTTTCCCTCACCGACATTCTAATCCTGTTCGCACGTGCGGGTGGCGTCGCGGACGTCGCGGATCCAAATGAGATAAGAATGCGACGGAGGAGAAGCAGCTCAAGTAGTGTTAGGAGAAGTTTTGACCTGGGGCAACGGCCCAGTGTCGGTAGTAATGGCGGAAGCGGGCTCCGACCCAGCGGAGAGTTGAGCCGGAAGAGCAGCACAACGGGGAATCGTTGATCAGAAGGGAGCACAAGCACTAAGCACCGAGGCTAAGCGCGAGGATCGAATCTTCGAACAAAGAACGGGATGGCAGCTCCCCCCAAATGATTCGAGGCGGGGAGGAGGGCTGTTTGGAAAGACTATTTTGAATTGTCACAGAAAAGCACATTATTTGGGCCTATTGAGCCCGGAAAGCCAGGAAAGGAACCTCGAGCTTACCGACTACACGATATTGACGACCTAGACTGCTTGGAGTAATGACAGACGATGGAATTCTGGATGGAGAGAGCATGGTGACAGACCACCGCGAAGCGGGCTGAATCAGGCTTTTGTCTTCAAGGCTACTTACCCTCCCCTTCCCGGTGACCGGCCTGCGACCAGGTTCGCACAGCAAGTGAGGATTCAGTTCCATCCAGCTATGCACCATCTGTGCAGGCCCGCAACTGTCCTCAGCTCGTGCAGATGAGATGAACTCTTTTTGTCTCTCGCTGGGCCTGTCGCAGTCACCCTCGTACACCTCCACCGATAGAATCGAGGGACACATACATGCCATAGCTAATTAAATAGGTAAATCTGTGTCCTGCCCATTCCACTTGCCAGATGTCCTCTCCGCTGCGCTGTGACAACCCAAGGCTGTCATGACCATTCTTGACGTCAGAAATTCGACCACGTGATGATCCAGCTTGCCGCTTGTCACGTGTACTGATATGCCGAGGCTGTCACGTCCTTGCACGTCCTTAAACCGCAGTCGGTCTGGCCAACCTCAACACAATCTGCAAGCCAAAGTCGATGAACAAATCGCAAACATCTCACTAAGAATAACACAGTCCTGGCAGCCTCTCCCTCCAAGCCGTTAACTAAACTGTCTTCCTCCGGACTGCGAGGCGTTCCCCGTTGCGGTTTGCGCCTACAGCCTAACTAGAGACTAGCTCTGAGTCCCTCGCTTCTGCAGGGAACCCCATTGAAATCAGGCTGTCAGTTCAAAGAATCGGGGATCAAAAGGAACACACAATTGGCCAGCCATGGCCTTCTCCTTCATCTCTTCAGTTCCAGTCCACCTTGTTGAGTTGCCAAGTCCACTTTGGGTCCAGAGGCTTAGCAGGCTGTCTCAGCCAGACATGCACCTGATCCGTCTGCATCAAATCGACGGAGGTGCTCCGTCATGTTCTCTAGAGAACCAATTGAGGTTACGAGTTTTGCTCGGACGACAAACCCTATCAGCGCCCAATGAACCATCTCCTTGCTTGAGCATGGCCCGATGTCGACTAGGGACCTGATATTTCGCCCTTTGACACTGCCTTGGGCGCCTCGGGCGTTGTTAATCGAGCCAGAAGCCCCCAAAGGGGTGGCTGGAGCTGACTTATCGGTAAACACCATTCTCCTACCAATCCTGTGCCCCCGCCATGCAGATAGAAAGCAGACATTGCCCATGACTTTGAACTGTTCCCGCCCTCCTTCCTTCAGGTCAGTACGACGTCCAAAGACCCCGCTTGACGTTGCCTCCCTTGTTGCTTTTAACAGCGCTTCCCTCTGCGAGGAGTCGATCATCGAATCTCTAAGGCTCGCATATCATGGGTGTTCATCAGGCTTCTCATGGGGTTTTCAGTGGTGTAGGCTTCACTCTGCTAGGGTTGTGCCTCTTGATCTCAGCCTCATCTGCATTCCCTCAAGCTCGGTCGGGTCCCCAACGTCCTGGGCAATTTGAGAACAGGCTCTCTGCAATGCAACCAGCACCAAAGCTATCCCAGCGGGATACAATCCCTAAGTCTCCACCATGGGTATTCCCTTCCGACTTGCGAACTCCGCCAGACTGCCTAAGCCACGGCCCTCAATGCCCCTTCAATCCAGACTACATGGCTTCATGTTCAGCAGAAAAGTGCACGGTGACCTTCATTGGTGCTTGCATGCAAACAGACACTCTGATCAGCAAAGATTGCATCTGCGCAGATCTTTCCTCTTCCACTTGTTCTCATCAGTGCTCCGGGTCGAGATCTCAGGCGAGTTACCTCTATTGGTTAAATGCCACCTGCGGCGATCTGGACGATTGGCGTGGGCTTCCCGAGAATTGGACAGACGGGCTGTTAAAACCCTCATTTTTGTTTATCGGCTGGTGGGACCCTGGCTACACCTCATATGTTTACGGTGACAGAGCGAGCCCCTGTCTAGGTTTTACGCAGTGTCTATACAGGAACGAATATGCGCGACCTGAAATAGTAAATTCAATGTGTGCCGAATTCGAGGAGACTATTTGGGAGCCTAACCTCTACAATTCTTCACAGGCTGCAATTTTCTTTCCTGAAGATCCAGGTAAAGGCTATTCACCTATTTATGGCACATGGGGAGGTTACGACCCTGATGATGACTCGAGTGTGTTCATTGAACGGAAAGGCTTCTGCAAAGATGCATACACTTTAAGCCATGATATCTGTTCTGCCGCGGGACGGACCAGTCTCCTTCTCTGGGCCAGTACAATATGCAATCCTACAGTTGAGTTTGGCTGGCCAAAGGATTGGCGAGATACTCTGCTTGTGTCCAATACGACCATTGTCAAAAGCAGCACCTTTATACCCCCTACAGCACCGGGACCCAACCATTGCTCCATCATAGTGAACAACACGATACATCGGTGCACTTCTGACGTGTGCATTGTTGAGAGAAACAACTGTACTGAGATCAACAGTGCTGTTGATAAGAGGTGCTTTTGCAAAGGAATGGATCTTCAGAACAAGTGCAATGCGACGGCGATTGAAAGGACGGAATTAAATCTCTGGCTCAATAAGACCTGCGAGGATATCCCTGAGTACCCCGGACTGCCAAATGGATGGGAAGATGGTTTGATGTTGATGAACACCAGCTATCAGGACCAAAGCGACTTTAGTTGGCCCTCATGTCTCGAGGCAAATGGTTGCTTCGACGTCCTGAATAGGACGGAACAGGACTGCAGCACATTTCTTTGTGATTTGGATCCTAGAGGAGGTAACTGCTCAGCCACGACGGTGGGATTCAAGGCTTCTTGTTTCTGCCGCCCAGGTAAGCTCGCACTAGCCACCATTTGATCTCGGCCAGGGGTCTTGTTGCGATGCTTACATGGCACAGTCGGTTATGAGACCACCTGCAAAGGAAATTGCAAGCTTTCTTGGGAACGGGAAGGGTACCTCAAGTGGCTGAATTCGACCTGCAGCTCAGTCGCCGATTGGAATGGATTGCCCCGTAACTGGCTCACATTGCTTCGTGTTCAAGACGATGAACTACTGCCATGGAACTGGCGCATCCAGATCACGCCGACCAAAGCACTTGACGCTACAGAACCCCTCCCGCCTAGAGAATGCCCGTCGACAGCGAGCAGTCTGGTGGCGTTCGCAGCCGTAAATGCTGCCATGGCCTTGCTGGTGCCTGTCTTTGGCCGACGCGATGTCATGAAAAAGTTGACCCGGGGTCGATGTGGCCACCGTGGCTCGCGCATGTGGCTTCTGACCGGACCGGCTACCGTGATGCTCCACGTTACAAGTAATGTTATCGGGGCATATATCATTAAATCTACACCAGGATACAGTGCTGTTCAAGTCGGGCAACTCGTTCTGTTGTGGTGTACCCGTCCGAGAATTACATGGATGATCATCGCCCTCATCCCCTGGCAGGCAGAAGATGCCATCTATTTTTCGGTTGCGAGCTCGACTCTCTTGGCCGAAGTCATATTACAAGCGTTAGGGGCATACTATATGGGGGTTGCCACCAACTATGCGCGTGTGCAAAAGTTCTACCAGGTCGGACGACTTCAGCAGGCTCCGCGAGGCAAAGACGCAGCAGTCATGTATGCAGGGTCGATCATGTGGCTCAGTGTCATGTTCATCGCTGTCGCAACGTGCCTCTGGTCCATGCTTGGCATGAGCAACTATGTTGCTGCCGTGGCTTTTACCATCAGGGGATTCAAAAGGAAGGCTGCAAGATCCAAGAGCCTCGCGGAAGCTCGGGTGATGAAGGTCAGGTCTTTAAGAACGAACCTCGATGCCTGGTCACCCACTGGCGCCGACCTTGAACGCGAGAAGCAGGCATTGGGGAATGCTTACACTGAGACAATCAGGGCCCTCGAGGCACTGGCGAGGGCCTGGCAGGCTTTACAGACATATGTTACTAGTGACACGGAGAGGTTGGTCACAGCTTCTAAAGCCCTCCGGCAGCAGAGAGAGAGGGGCCCCGCGGGCAATGCCGAAGAGGCATATTTTCGGGCCTATTCCATCTGGATTCAACTTCCGAGCAAGCAACTTGTCGATCTCGGAGCCTCTAAAGGAGCCTTTGCTCAATTGAACTCGGCAGTGCGCGCGAACAGAGCTGCCTCGACGGATCAAATCAACTCGACCTCCATGGAAATCACATTTCTAAAAGCAGCACTCGTGAAGACGCAGGTAAAGGTACGGACTTTGCAATTTCTGATTGACGAATACAGAAAGCAGCGTCAGCAGACTCCCAGGTACGCCGTATCCGAGAACGGACTCGTGTTAAAGCATATCAGCGATTTGCAGCATCAGCTGTACAACTACCCGAATAGCCGAAAGCCCACACAGCATCAAGAGCTGAGCCACCTTCGCCAGATCGATGCTGCGCTGGTTCGCGGAGTCAGCCTCGGAACCCAATTGCAGAATCTGATCGGTGGCGGCCAGAACACAGGCGGAGACCAAGACTCTGTAGCCAGCCTCGAGGCCTCGATCCGCAACCAGGAAACCAAGCAGAGGTCCGAGCTACGCGTTCTCCAGGCCTGGAACGAGCTGTGTACATTCTGCGCCCAAGTGGGAGCAGAGCACGCGCGGCTCACAAAGATCTGGGCGGGCCTGGAGAAGAAACGGAGGAAAGAGGACGAGGAGCGCCGCAAGGGCAACGGCGCCCTGTTGAAGAAGATTGCCTTGCGCTCCATCGCCGGCATGTTTGGCTGCTGGGCCGCCCAGTGGGTGTGGTGGGTGGGATATGTTCGAGCATCTGGAGACGAGTGAGTTTTTCCTGGCGAGAGTCCGGAAGGGATCTCGTGTTGAGCCATCCTATCCTATCCATCTTTCTTTTTTTTACCGAGTACATACATACGGACAAATTCCCGGACTGACACCGTTTGATCCAGCTACTGCCCCCCGAAACTCAGCCAGATTGCCACGATATGGACTATCTTCTCGACCATCGGTACGTATATATCCCCAAAGTAGTTTTTGCGTTCCCTCCTTTGCGAGGATCTTATCTGTCTGGGGTCTGGGGGCCCAATCAAGCAAGACTTAGCAAGCACACAAGCACATTGCCAATTCGACTCTACTCTACCCCACTCACCTCATTCCAACTCAGTGACTACCTACCTTGCTAACGAACTTACTAATACGATGTGATGTGACGCTACAGGTGTCATGATGGGCGGCACGCTTTAAATGAAGGTGGAAGATGGAAAATGGAAGATGACCCAATAGCCGGAGTGGGATCGATTTCTTCGGCCTTCCGTCTTCGTGTTACAGTCGAGTGGGAGGAAGGTGACCTACCTATCTTGAATGGGAAAGCCATTCGCGCCAGGACTTGCTATCGATAGACAATCTGCGACGTCGTGTTGGGAAGTCCCCGGTATGCATTTAGCAATTCATGTAGGTCCCGAGACATACAAGCGGATTCTATCAAGGTCTTCGATATTACGCCGCCATGCATGGTTCGAACCACCGTGGCTCACTGGCAAAACTAAGCCTCGCCACTTAGTAAAGTAGAATCCGTCCCTGTACGTAGTTATCACAGTGCTCTGGGAGTTTTGTCCAGCGGGACGTCGGACAGCTTGGTTCCCTGGATCTATTCCATCACGGGGTATCCACATTTCCCTCTCCAGTCATTCTCCAAAGGACCTGGGTCTTGAAAGAATCGATACACCCGAGGGATCCGCAGCCACCCACAATTCACGCGTAGATGAGCAAGTCTTTGGTTCGCTGCTTCGGATGGGGGTGACCGAATAGCCAAATTTGACTACCGCTTGGTTGTTGAGTCGAAGAACGACGTTGGACGAGTGTGGGCCCAGCAAACGCGCAGCGTAGGCCGCCGGTTGCGGTTGGTTGGTATAGCACCAGTCCACTATCTCTTGGTCTGTTGCTGATAAGTGATCCAAGTTCATCGCGACGAAGGTGGTTGGTTTGAGATGGATTTCTAAAGGTTGCGAAAGAGTTAAGCCTCTGAAGCTTTTCTACAACGGGAGTGCCAAGGGAGCGGAAGAGGAGTAGACGAGGGAGCAGATAGTTGATGGCGCGAGAGCAACGCGGCGAGGACGAGCTAGCTAAATAGTCGTAGTAGACGAGTGTTGGGGAGATTATATCTATATATACATAGTAGTAACGCAACGGACGTAGGTATTTGCTGTTGGAGATTGTTTATGATAGATACCCAAAAAGAGGGAGAATCTCTTTTCCATACATGACTCCGTTGCTCCTTGGGTATTTTGATCACGAGCTGTACTTAGACTTCCACATACATCACCGGCATCCATGTCTTGCGAATATACGAGGACTGAAACCAATATTTATTGGAATGCAGTCGACCTCATGATAAAAAGCCGGTAGTAATCTCTCACAGCCATATCCAACTTGGATTGGCGTAAGAAGAGTCCCCCAGTTCTTGTTTCTTGTTTTCTGATTGTAGAGGACTGTTGAGCAGGACCATGCGGAACTTACAAAGACACTCCGACCCATTTTGTGACCAGAAGATGCTGTGACCTCTCTGCCCTGTGGCTCAATGCTAGTCAATCATGTACCTCAAGTTTGACCTTCAGATCCACATCGGTATTATCCAGGTTGTGCCCACTAAAAAAGGCTTGTACGTCGTTGTCGCCACCATCCCAGCTACCATCTCGGACAAAGTGGTCCCAAAATCCGTCCCCGGGAGGGGTACCATGACCCGAGTCTAGGCCGTCGTTACCAGCAACGAAACTGGGTTCTCTGGCTTCCTGCTTTACAAAGTCCAAGCCTGAGTTGGAGAGAGACTTTGCTTCGGCCAGTTCTCCAGAGACAGGTGATAGCACTGTCGTGGCCGTCGAAATGGTGCTATTGGTGCGCTTCTGTATGCCCTCGGAAAAATTGTCCAGTGCCGTGGGCGCCAGAGTTGCATTCATTCCCTGGTAGGCTGAGTCGTTCGCAGATATATCTTTAACAGAACTGTGCGTATTTTTCCAAGGGTAGTATGAATTGCTGACGTACTGGTCCGAGCCACGCATAAGCATGGCATAAAAAGGATCATTGACGTCAAAGCCAGGTGCATACGCGAACATCTGCTGCGACTCCGGAGGCAATGAAGTGGTGAATGGCCCCATGTCCTGCCACAATGGTGTGAATGAATTGGATCGGCCTTGAGGAGAGGTAGCAGCACTGGGGTTTTGACGCTGTGGCGAAAACTCAAAATCTGCTCTTGGGCCCGGACCCTTGACATGCTCTCCAGAATACTGGTCTGACACCTGTGCCGAGCCATGAATCGACAAGTTACTGTGATCCATTGCGCCTGGAGCAGGCACAGGTGCGGAGGGCGATATTGACTCTTGGTCCTTGGTTGCTGATGCTGAAGAATCTGCCATCCGGGCGCTATTCAGGGAAAAATGGGCTTGATGAGGCGAAGGGTACGGAGCAGGGCGCTGATATCCCCCTAGCGACTGTGCCATATTATGTTGAGCAATCATGGGTGATGGAAACATATTGACCCCGCTGTTGGGATACTGGCCATGAGGATCTCGAGCCATCTGCTCTATGGCACTCCGGACCGCCACCTGGTGTGTCAAATAAGCGGCGAAGCGGCGATTGAAATCGGCCGAGCTCGTTTGCAAATGTGCAGTAAGACGTCGATATTGTAGGGGCAGGTCATCCCCCTCTTCCTCATACATCTCCTCGTTCATGACATCCTCGGCGGTTATCCGGAGCGCCCGTCCAGTTCTTCTCTTGTGAACTTCTGAAGCCCTCCGTGCTGATTCCACGCGAGCCTCGAGAGTTCGGTCACTCCTTCTCGACGCAGCGATATATGCTCTTGATCAATGTCAGTATATTGGACAAGCTGCACCAGCCAGATATGCTCACCTCTCCTGGTTCTCCTCTTGAGTGCGCTGCGTCTTTGGAGGCTTCTCCCGCGACACTGTTCGCATTGGCGGCATGTTGGGCAGGTCGTCGGAGACTGGCGTCCAGACGGTGTCCTGAGTAGCTTGTTTCAGTGCGACGGGCGTGGCCTTGGAGCGGGAGTAATTGGTACTCCAATGATCGATGAGCTATAAGGCTTCCGTTGCACAGATGGACAGACAAGCTATAGCAACTGTAGCAACAGAAAGTATCTTGAGTTGAGTTCCGAACAAAGCATGCACAATCGTAGCCAGTATGCCTACAAGGTATGAAGAAACGTTATGGAGTGGTTGCCTGGGGGGCGGGTTTGACCATAAAAGAGCAGCTGCAAGTGGCGAACCAAGCAGTAATGTTGCTAGGTCCAAGAAATGACAGTTTCCTGGTATGAGGACAAGGGTGACCACACTGAGACAGCTCGTATCTGTCAGCGAAGTTCAGACCAGGGCACAATGTCGCTTGGAGGGTTGACCAAGTGGGCGCGATTGTTCATGAGATGAGCAAGGGAAGAGGCGATCCCCAGGGAGTTTTATCTAGGGTCGAGTCCGAAGATCGCGAGGAGAGGGAGGCTGTGGGCCAGAGGAGCCAATCTCAAGCAATGAAAGGGAGAGGAGGGAGGGGAAAGAGAGGAAAGAGTTGAGAAAGCCATGGCTCAAGTAGCGGCATCTGTGGCTGCAGGCCTGCTGAGGCTACCATTGGACTGCGGCGGCGGCAGTTGGTTGTCCATGGAGCAACTAGCCGGGGAGAATAAAGTCAAAGCATGAGGTACCAGAGGCAGAATGGGCATTCTAACGACAGCAATTCGAAGCAAGCCGTGGCAAGATGCCTGGTTGTTGGGATGAAGACAGCAAAAGCCAGTAGATGTCAGAGTGACCAGACCCGAAGCGGCAGGTAGGAGCACGATAGAGTTGCTGAGCTGCAGGCCAAGCGCAGAGTGAAAATGCAGCCCAGATCGGGGCACCATTGGGCCGCTGGCGGGAGGGAGGCCGTACGAGGTCCAGGCTGCGCCCACTGCAGCCCCCAGCGCCTCCAGTCATCGATCGCAGTGCCAGCGGAGGCTGGATCCGTCCATCGCCTTCTGCTGCTGGTCGATCGCCCAAGAAGCAGCTGCGACACGGTAATACTTGCTCAGACCGCCAAATTCCTTTGTCTGGTCTCTTGTTGGATGCGCCGCTGTCTTATTCTCGGTCCATCTCATTGTTCGTCACTTAACTTGCTTCAATACACGAGAATCTACCCTTCTCGGCACTGTTCCACCTCCTCCTCACTCGCCTCATCCGACACAAACAAGAGTTTTACGATCTGCCCGAAGGATCAGCAGAAATCGATGGGGAACCGAGTAGCCCCTCACCTCGGTCGTAGCGCCAGATCCTAGCGCTGTCGGCTATCGTCTCCGTGCCAACGGCGGCTTCACAAGCCTGAATTGCGGAAGGGAAAGATGAGATTGCGGTCATAGAAAAGGGCATTCTCGATCTGACAGCACGGTCTCACACAGGAAACTGTTTCCGCACGATGCGTTGGTCCCAATTGACCAGGAGTTACAAATCCTGTATGTAGCTGCTAGCGGTAAGTCGAGGATCAAAATACCCCTGCTCGGGCGATTCATCTTTGGTCATCTCATCAGGCGCCTGTGTCTAGACGCCCACGGTACTCTCTCATGATAAGTGGACTCCACCACAGGATTTGTTCCCTGCTCTCGAACTGGGATTGCCGACATAAGACGGACAATTTCGAGACCAGTGGGAATGCAGGTATGAGACACCACCACCAGCCGTCCCCCTAGGGCTACGTTGGAGGGACACTTCCCCGGCTGAAATCTTTGTTTCTTTGGCCTGACCCTGCTAACTGGGACCAAGAATTGGAACTAATGTGCTGCATGATATCCTTTTCCACCAGCAGACACGGCAGGCAAGTTTCGCAGACCACCATAGTCGGATCGCACACTTCCGGTAGCCACGGTACCTAGTTTCGTGGTAGCAAGAGATGGGTTCTTCTTTCCCCGTAAAAGGCTGAATGGGGGGAATTGTGCCGCAATGTCTTTTGCATCGGCGATTGGGACAGACATCGCAGCCCAATTCGCAACACCAGCCCAGCTTCAGGTATATCCCGCGACTCCACCAATTGCCGCAATTCCATCCACCCGTGACGCAAGAAGTTGGTCACTGATTAGCTCCAAACAGACGGCACTGCTAGTCACTGTCTCCCCCTTTGATGGATCCCTCTTGGTTCCTGTGCTTGTCTGCAAGATCGGAGCGATACCTGGATCTCTCTTCCCTTGCGCAGATCGACTTTGATCAAACCCGGAACCGCGAGACCGCCACCCAGATCTATCTTTTCTCGCCTCGTGGGCCTTATTCGCATCTCGTATTTTGGATTTTGCTTCGACTACTGGGATGGGTGGCGCCATGTGGAATGTACTTGATACAGGAGTCGCGTATTGATGGTGTAGGCCCCTCGGCGTGACTACGTGACGACGACGTGCTGCGTGCTACGTGCTACGTGTCAGCCGTGACAGCCATCCACCACCGCCACCACCACCAAAACTCCGCGTTTCTCCCATGACCTGCCGTTTCCTATTTCCCGGGGGGAAAAGAAAATGGATAGGGCATAAGGCGTCCGTCTCCTCCTATCAGGAAAACGCCGGGAAACCTTCGCCAGGCCTGCCTTCCTGCCTTCCTGCCAGGTTTACGGCCTGGCCTTTCTTTTTTTTCCTTTTGTGGGGATAGCAAACTCGCATTATTTGGAAGAACAGCAAATAGTTGGAAACTTTGGAGAACCCCCCCAAAACTCACGCACGGGATGGCGCTACATGACAAGTGATATCAGCCATGCCACTTTGTTCCGCTCCTGTGGCTTCCACGGTCAGAACACTACCGACTCAACAGTATCACGGTACTTTGTCCGAATGCCAAATGCAGCGACGGCTCGCAACGGAATGTCATGTAGGTATCCATGCTGCGCCGTGTCTGCGCATACGTACGCGCCCACGTGCTATCTAATCTGAGGGCGCCTCATCATACTCTGTGGCCGTTAACTAACCCCTAGCGGCGGAACATTGCCCTGTTGCTCTTGTCCTTGTCCGTTCAGTTCGTATGATACTTTGAAACGCATCTTGACCTGGTTGCCTTTCCCTTCTGGCACTCCGTTGAGCAAAATCTCCTGCTGGACAGCGTGGTGTGTATTGGGAGCGAGTTCGCGCCCGCTTTGTGGCTTTAGGTGGAGTGAGTAGCTCTTCTCCACGGCAACTTGGAAGTGTAACCCGGTGATTTTTTGCGGCGTTGTGTTGGAGAAACGCGCCGTTATCTGGATCGCGCTCTGCCCTGGTGTCCGTCGGGCTTCAAAATCGATCCCGAGAGGTGAGGAAAGCACTTGTACCGTTTGTGGTTCAGGCAGCGACGACTCGAAAGTCCATTCGTCTTCGGCTGGTGCAGCGGGACTTCGGTTCATGCCCGAAGCTGGCTGTGTGGATGGTTGTGGGGTGTTGACTTGTCTTGACGGCGTTGAAGGCCGCGAGCTGGATGACACCAGCGCCGCAAACGGATCGGCCAATGCTTGACTTGCAGCCCGCGGCGGCTGTGCCATAGGAGCTGGAGTCGCAGGTTTGGAAGAAGGGATGGAGCTGACGAGTGATGCAAAAGCGTCGTAATTGGATTTCGGTGAAGTCTGAGGTGCGGTTTGCGTGAACGCCGGCTGGGTTGGGGCAACATTAGAAGTGGTCGAGAAAATCGACCCTGAAGGAGCTGAAAAATTCGTGCTTGGTCCAAGGGAGATCGCGCCCAGTGTGCCGGCGCCAGGGTCGTCCAGCGACAGACCTAGTAAATCATCTTCGACCGTCGTTGGTCTGGGCTGTGCAGTGGATGAAGCAGGACCAGCATCAAGGAGGGAGCCGTTCGATTGACTTGGTATCGTTTGCGCTGCTGGAGGTTCCGGCTCGAAGTCGATCAACGACAATTCGTTTGCTGCGTTTTTGCTGACCCCGGTCGTGGTGCCCAGGGTTCCCTTTTCGATCCTGTTGGCTGCTTCGATGTCTCCAGCTTTCATCAACTTGTACCTCTCGATCGTCCGATGGATACTGTCGTTGATTTCGAAGAGCTTAGCGACCGCCTCGGCATCGTCAGACTCTTCCTCGCACATCCTCTGTATCTTGGGATGAGCGCTCTGGAGTGCACCGACCAACTCCTAGGCTTCGTCAGCTTATTGACCACTTGCAATGCGACACTCCATACCTCGAAAACATCCCCGTCGCCAAACTTCTCGCCCGGTTGATGGCTTTGAAGCATCTCCTCTAATATCCTGGCTTTCTGCTGGACCTTTGCAACCTCTTCCGCTGCCTTTGCCCGATAGTCCGTTTTGTGCCTCGTGTCATAGCCGGCCATGACCTTCATGAGCCTATTGGCCTCTTGCAGATCTTGCGGCCGTCCTCGCCGAATCAGTTCTTGTAGCTTGGCTGACTGCGCCGCTCGGTCTTCCTCCTCCATCTCTTCAGCCGACTGGAGGTTCTGCAACTGATTAGCAGTGGTCCACTGTTCTTCTGGGACTGTTCTCATACATCGCTGGGGTTCAGGACAGCAGCATCCTCTCTCCGCACCTCTGGGAACATGTAGCCCTTGTACAGCAGAAGCCTGTGCATATCTCGGATGAAACCCAAATCCTCCTTGTACCTGGATGTTTGACATATCGTCGACCGCCATTCTTCAATGGCTTCCAAGATCTTGCTCTGCACACGAGTGGGCCGTAGCGGGGGTCGTTCAGGGAATCGTCGGACGAGCTCGTTGAGGAATTCTTTGGTGCTGATTTGGAGGTGGAAGGGATAACCGCAGTTTTTGACACAGATATCGAGTAGCGACAAGGCCAAGAGGGACACATTCGGGTTCCGGTGGTTGATGAGCTGCACAATGGTAAATGCGGCTTCACGCGGGGCATTGCCCTTCTTCGAGTTTACCAGGTCGACGATCTCGAGGTTCAAGGCGAGATTAGGTTCGAGGTTGGCGATAGGGTCGCAGGCATTGTATATGAAGCGCTGGAGGGTCGAACGAGGCGGGGCGAAGCCGTCAAAGACAAACTGATTTCGCGAGGCCATCCTCGCCGAGGTGGCTTCCATCACCTGGACTAACGTGGAGGCGTGTGTCTACTGAGATCGGTCGCAGTGGTGGTGAACAGAGGAGAATCGTCTGCTGGTCAAATCTGCCAGGCTTTGGCCTCATTTGCACTTCCAGCCAGACAGGGTGACAGGCAACTTGATGCCACGGAGTTGGTTGATGCCACCAATGCCAACTTTCTGACTAAGCTACTGCCTATCGGAGGTCCCCAGGTGCCCTAGATTGGCCGTTGGCTGAAAGTTGGGAGGGCAAGAGGAAGATGAACGTTATGCATTCCAATCGACGAAAGTATTCAAGAACGACTGCTTCTGTAATGCCTTCTCAAACTACCTTAGTATGGGTACAACACGTTCATGAATACCCACCCAGTCGTGACTCAAAAAGCGCCATGTCAATTGCTGCCCCGGATCCTTGCTTATGATAAGAATCTATAACCCCTCATGCACTACATTGCCATCTGTACGAGGTAGAAAAGCAGATATGAGACTCAGAGATCAAATCAGCTCGAAACCGCATGTTTTTTACACTGCTCTCAGGTCCACTGACCTAAATGGTGGTGGTCGAGTGCTGGTCCGGGTTCAGTATTGAACACACATGTCATCACAGTCCCTTGAAAGAACAGGGCGTTACCTGAAATTCATACTACACACTTTTAGAGAAAGCAAAGGGGATGAACTGAAATAGCCGCACGAGCCGACATCACCTCTTCTGAATCGGGCATGAGTTTGCAGCAGTTTTTGGCGGGATCGCTTATTGGGGAAAGTACCTCGTAAGCATGGTGGCATAACAGAGCCACTGGAAGGGGCGCAGGGACGAACGGCGAAGATCTGGACGCCATAATAGACATAGTAATCCCCATAAATTGTTCTCGTGTTCAAGATCTACAAGCTCGAAAATGCTCACAGTGTACTCTGTCACAACGCCAGGATCAAATGCTATATAACTCATTCCCATACCCTATGCCCATGCCCATACCCCTGCTCCACTTTTGTCACGATATGTTTGATGCAGCCCGCTCCAAAGCCAAGTACTCTGACCTGCTCTTCAAGCAATGTTATCTTGGTCGACGAGGGCTAGCTATTCCTGCACTCTTCAAGGCTGGTGGCGCAGGTAGGTCCTTCATCGGAGGAGCTGGTAACGGCCCAGTTGGAGGAGGCTGTCGCACAGTGAACGGTGGACTCATCAACGGATTTCTGCCATTGATAATATTGCCGCTACTACTCGTCCTCGGGGGAAACATCGGTCTTTGAGAAGGCTCAATAGCCGAAGCAGGCTCGGGAATATTATCACGGTCGTTGTATCCCAGGCGGTTAGCACGAGGACCAATTCCGTTGGGCGCATCTCGGGTTTCCAAAGACAAATGCTGTAACGATAGCGGCGGCGGCGGCGATCTCTCCACAATGCCAGTCGGTGTCCCTTGAAAGCTAAACTGTGGTGGCGCGACGGGGATGTTGCCAGAGGTTGGACTCGCATACTGCTTGGCCGTCACAGGGGTGCCACGGGCATCGCCAGCAAATGAGGCCGTAGACGCCGATGAGGTTGTATGAGAGCTGTCTGAGCTTGTCCCATCACTTTTCAGCGATTTTGGTGCAGGAGGTGCCAAGTAGGATTTTCGGTTGTGTCGCTCCATCATCGAGACGGCCCATTCCTGCAGATCCACAGGCGTTCTCTTCGCAGCCTGCAAGAAGTTGTCTCTGTCATAGAGCTCCCGGGGGGTTGGTCTCTCGTCAGGGTTCTTGAGCAGACACTTGGCCACAAAGTCCTCCAGAATAGACGGGAAGGCCTCACTCTTTGGGAGTTTGGGTGCCGGTTCGTGGACTATGGTCTGCAAAAGATCAAGAATTCCCATTGGTCCAGCACTTGCTCTGTCGCCCGCGGCAGAATCGCTCGAATCAAATGGGAATCTTCCAATTGCCAGTTCCATTACCGTCAATCCCACGCTCCAAACGTCGGACTTGATGGTGTATGCTCCGCCCTGAATTCGTTCAGGGGCCATGTACGTTGACGTGCCAACAAACGTGTTGGCCACCGAGTTGACAGTCTCTGTAGCCACGCCAAAGTCACATAGTTTGATCATTCCTCTAGAATTGACCAGGACATTTGATGGTTTAATGTCTCGGTGCATGATTCGGTGGGCTTCGTAAAGGTATACAAGACCTCCCAGGATGGATTCTGTAATTTTGCCTAGTACGTCCACACGTGTGGGTCCAAAGTCTTTCGATATGCGATCCAAGGATCTGCAAGCCGTCAGTTCAGCGGGAAGGGTAGCATCAGACCACAAGTGACTCACCCGCAATCCATATATTCCATACACAGCACAATGTCCCGGGCTTCATTCTGAAAAGCTCCGTAGTATGTAATGACGTACGGCGAGCTGCAGTCGGCGCCAACTTGTAATTCTCGAACAATTTGCTTACGGACATTTTCTTTTGCGTCGACTCGGATAACCTGTGTTCCTTCTCAGCATCAGGTCAACCTCCAGCCGAAGGGCCGGGACATACCTTTCTTGCCATGATCACTTTGGTCGAAGCATGCATGACTTTACTGACAGTACCCCCATTGCCAGCACCCAACTCTTTCAGCACGATCAGATCTTCACTTCTGAGGTCAAGTTTGAATTCCAAGCCAATCTCCAAAGTGTCGGTCCTGTCACTCTCGGAATTTCCAAGCGCCCCTGGTATCTGTGCATCGCCATCGGAGGGTGCTGTTCGAGGAGCCGGTGCATTCAACGCCAACCCTTTGACATTCTTCCTTTTCAGCGTCCGGGCTTTGAACGCGTCCGACATGGTGTGAGAATATTTCTTGGGTGACGGTAACAACGGTCCGGCAACAAGGCTAGTGAGGGAGGAACGGAAGTCGAAAGAGGATATACCGTAGGCTTCGGCGGGACTGCAAGTGTGATATGCAGACAGGACAGAGAAGAGAGGCGGCTATGTCAGACCCCAAGGACAATGCCAACTAAGGCCATCAGGCGCTTAGACGGATGAATAGCTGACTGCTTTCTTTGAGCCTTTAGTCGATTGACCAATGCTGGACAGTGAAAAGCTGTGAAAATATATCAAAACACCCTGCTTTGAACCTGCCGTGCGGGTGAAGAGATTGTCAGTTGACAGCTGCTGAAACTGAAATCACGCTGAAGATAGGGGTTCAAGCGCTTCAGCACGGTTGAGAAAAGCACGCGGTCGTGAACTGAAGAGGCGATATCTGTCAATAGTGCATGGCATAGGCCAGTAGTTCGCCAATAGGTGTCAATAGGAGGTCAAGCGCAAGCGCCTATTCTCACGCTTCAAGTCAGAAGTTCCCCATGTTCTAAAAGAACCGCAAGCAGACGGTTGATTCGATTCATGTGAGGAGAAGGACGCAGCCAATCGCCGAAAGCGACCGATCCACCCATCCTTTGTACTTAGTACCTTGGCCCATGGTGATCCTGCTGAGATGCGGCAGCTTTGCCGAGCCCGTGATTTAGCCGGGGTGTTAAGTTTGTGTCTGTTCCTTGGGCGATTTCGCAGGCTGGCAGGACATTTGAGCATCCGTTGCTGTCGCTTTTACCGCGACGTTGCTGCCTGCGGATCGGTCATATTCCTCGAATCATCTCAATTTACCGGGTCTGCTGCTTGCGCTTCGCCCTCGCATCAACATGGACCTCATCGATGATCGCGCAGTTCTCGGTGATGAAGAGGAGGACGAATCCTTCGATGAAGACACGGGTGAAGCAAGACCAAAGTCAACTGGCGCGAACGGACATTTTGATGATTCCTCTGAAGAAGAGGAAGAGGACGAAGATGAAGAGGCCGCAGCCGAGGTAAAATCTCTCTCTGCTAACACCCTCTGAAATCCCAAAATCTAATGTTTATGCCAGGTTGCCAAAGACTTCATTGTTGACGAGGACGAAGAAGATGAAGAAGCCCGCCGCGAACGAAGACGAGAACGAAAGAAGCGCCGCCGCGAAGAGCGCGAAGATGAAGATCTCGATGAAGAGGATTTGGAGCTCATCGGCATGAAGCCCACTGAGGAACCAACCGAATCAAAGTTCAAGAGACTCAAGCGAGGCCCTCGGGAAGACCGTGACGCGCAACAGCATTACGGTGTCAATGATATTTTCGGTCATTCCGACGAGGAAGAGGAGGCGGTTGACTACAGTCGGCGGAGTCGTCAGGACCGACGAGGGCTACAGGACGAGTTTGACGATTTCATCGAAGAGGATATCTTCTCAGACGAAGAGCAACAACGGCAACGTGAAGATGAAGAAGTGGCCAGACATAATCGTCGTGGGATCGCGGAGCTGGGTATTGCTGATGCAGCCGGGCTCGATGAGCAGGCCCTGGAAGACTTTCGCGCGGCCTTTGGTGATGGAACAGACTACGACTTTGCTCTAGAGAAGGAGGAAGAGGCTGACGAAGAGGAAGCCGAAAAAGACAAGAACCTTCATCTCAGAGATGTCTTTGAGCCTTCACAGCTGGCGGAAAAACTACTCACCGACGAGGACAATGAAATTCGATTCACCGATATACCCGAACGTCATCAGCTGGCCCGGAGACCATACCGCGACCTTGAACTTACCGAAGACGAGGTCAAAGAAGAAGCACTGTGGATAGCCAATCTGATCCTACCCTCGAAGGGGCACGATGAGATCCACCACGAACCTTTCAGACGCGCTGTCGCAGATAATCTGGACTTGATGACTCGGCAGGACTTTGAACCGCCGTTCATCTACATGCACCGAAAAGATTATCTACTGTTCCCACAGACTAAGGTGGTCGGTGTGCAGGAAGATGGGAGTCCGAAAGTCATCGACGACACCGTCAAACTTCTCAACCAGAAAGATCTGTGGCGCATACTGGAGCTTGATCTAAAGTATCGAGCGCTTATCGAAAGGAAAAGAGCGCTACAGAAGACTTACGCGGATCTGCATTCGACCAGTGTACCGGAAGACACCACCTTCGAACAACTCCTACCCCGGGCCGCTACGATGGAGGATCTT